AATTATTAGTATACAGTATTCCAAACGCACTTCACTAAAAAGCTCAGAAATTAATTCAGTGGTCCCGGGCTCAAAATTTCAAATTAATGGGTCTTCAGGAGAGAAGGTCTTAGTGCTAGGATCGAGCAGGCCATAAGTAAGGTCATCCTTGAGTTATCTAAGGATATATATGTCTCTGTCGAAAATGCATAGGGAACCACAGCCAAGTTGCAGGATGTAACTCAGTAAGCAGTAACCCTTGGGTGTATAAAAGGTTTTGACAGCATGTGGCTAAGAGATTGGAGTTACATAACATATGCCGAAGATATCTAGTAATGAACAGTTTATATTTCCTACACTACTGGGGTGCAATTATTGAATCGCGATAGATTCCCAAAATGAGATATGTTTTTAGGATGATATGTACGTCACGAAAAACCATCTCACTCATTTCCGTCGGTCTGTCTGTCTGGCTACCTGTCGGCTAATCCTTGACTCCTCTATAACTTGGAAAGTAGCGGTCGGATTTTGAAATTTCCACATAAGATTACTACTATGCCAAGGACGGAAAAGCTCTGTAGCTTTAGAAAATCGGCGGCGGAGCTAGGGGCAAAAAAGTAAAAAAATAGACATCGCTCAAACTTTGTGACATTTCAGAAAAATGTCAAGGAGTGAAAAATTTGGGGTTATACATGGGTGGGGGAAAGGTACGTCTTAACTTGACAGTCGTATACATATACGCCTTCTAAAACTTCACTAGAATGGTGGAGAAATATTTCCGACGCAAGTCCTATGCTTTGCTGTCCTGCCGATGCACGTGTGTAGCATTCGGCCTCCGCTGATCTGCCTCCACGCCTGATGTACACATGTCTTCGATCATATAGGCCCGCAGGAATTTTTCTCGGGGCAAAGGGGAAGTTGATCCATCGACAAGAGATAACTCCGAAAACCTAACTGCCTCCAAAAATTTTTGAAGAGCGAAAGAGAGGATATTTTCTCAGGAAGCCAAATCCTAAGTAGCCCCAAAATTGTACAAAAAGGCATGGTGAATGAACAAGTTTTAATTAGACATTAAGGACGTATGTGCGCTTATTTTCGAACAAAAATAAGGATAGTGTCAGATAGCACTTAGTACATAATTTTGTATGAACAAATTGAGTGCCAAATTTGTTATATCATGCTAAACGTGAGCAGACGCCTACTCCGCATTTGGAGCAATACAATGGCTGATCTATGTGACAAGAAATTACGTAGTCGTGCCATAAGTTCTGTCCCATGATAATCTCATGATAAAAATGAAACAAGATACTATAAGATATATTTATATGAAAGATATTATTTATTCGACAACATTTTTAGAATTCATAATCAAACAGTTTTATTCAAAATGTCCCCCCTTGGCCTTCACACACTGCTTCAATCTCGCGGGCCACTCATCTATCACTGCACGCACAGCTTCCAAAGGAATAGCTGCCGCTGATCGGATCAAATCCGCTTTCAGGGACTCGATATTACGGTGGGCTTTGGAGCAGGCCAACTGCTCTAGCAGGTCCCACAACTTGTAGTCTAAAGGATTGAGGTCCGGACTCCCTGAGGGCCAATCTTCCGCAGCAATGAACTCTGGCACATTGCTTTCCAGCCAGCGCTGCGTACTCTTAGCCTTGTGAGCGGGGGCGGAATCCTGCTGGTAGACCCAGTGTTGGTTGGCAAACAATGTACCACTTAAAGGCTTGACGATAGGATCCAGTATGTCGCTCTGATAGTTTGCCGCTTTTGTTTTCACGCCCTGTTTACAGAAATGGAGCTGAGTGACCCCTTCGTAGGACACCCCCCACCAAACCATGACTGACGCAGGGTGGTGGCCTCTCTCAACTCTCGGAATGATCTCTGAAGCTTCCTGTGAACTCCTTGCATACACTTTGTCATTTTGTCGGTTGAATTTTTCTTCTATGGTGAAGATTTTCTCATCCGTGAACAAAATCTTTCGGAATCCCCCAGCTGCGTACCTCTCCAAGAGCTTCTTGGATCTTGTCGCCCTGATGTGTCGCAAGGTGGCCGTAAGTCGCTGGCCCGTACGTCTCCGGTAAGCCCCTAGCCCTAGGTCTTGTTTAATGATGCGCGACATCGTCCGGACAGGAATCTTCATTTCCCTGGATAGGATCTTCTGCTTCCGGAGTGGATTCCTTTGAATCCTGGCTTTTACGGCTTTGATGGCTGCTGGAGTCCTTACTTGACGAGGTCTTCCGCTTCTTGGCCTGTCATCAACAGAGCACGTCTCATTGTACCGCTGAATGGTCCTAGACACAAATTTACGCGATATTTGAAGGCCGCGTAAGAGTTCAAAAATCTGACTAGCACTGTGATTACACTTATGTAAAGCTATCACTGCAATACGCTTCTCTGCCTTGCCCCACTCCATCGTTATGCTTCGAGAGATCAATACAAACTGAGGTATATGTAATTACCCGAAAAGCGCTTAATCAACTGACACCACAATGTAAACAATCGGACAAGTATTAACAGGTCTACACTTGTTTGAAAACGAGGGACAGAACTTATGGCATGACTATGTACATGTTTTGTGTTAACTCCTTGATATTCTCTTTGTTTTTGAAACAAATATGATTGTTTATATACTTCAGAACCAATTAGGCCTATAAGCCAGTAAATCTTCCACTAGAGATTCTTCATTCAGCATATGGAGCACTCCCATGCCCCGGTTCCTTTCCCTGATCCATTTTCGATACCAAATTCTTTTACGGTTTCGTTTTTCATGAGGTGGGCAGCTACAACGTAGATCGCTGATCCGAATTACGGCGTCGTTCCATTTTCTATAATTTTCTATTCGTTTAAAGTAATAAAAGAATAAAGTAGCAAGCAGTAACGTAAAGTGTGGTTAGAATGACCTTGACGTGATAATTATAGTTTTTTCTACCGACTGCGCATGATTTTGTACGAAATTTATTAAAAATTCCTTTACATGACAGACATAATTGTAATTGGTAAACAAATTGGGAACTAAAGTCAGTACCGCATTTTTCACAAAATTTGGTACCGAATTATGAACAAAATTTTGAATCATGACAGAAGGTCTTAAGACTTAGGCATTAGATTTATTGGTCACTCAAGATAGAATGTGACATGTGGTATGTCAGCTATAGGTACAAATGCAATGTAGGCACTAAGCAATTATATGTATTTCACTAACTTGATCCGCCAAGGCTGTTCTTCAACACTATTCAGCAAAATTGGTCATCAACTTATTAGTAACTTTCTTCTGAATCGACCTGGGGCTGCCAGATATGCCTTATATAATGAAAGACAAAAAGTGAGGCATTGAGTACTGTTTATACGTAGCTTGAACGCCTGAGTATCTATTGGGTTGGGTGGATGGCCGATTTGCAGCTATCAGGCGAGAAAGGCACGTGAAAATAAAACTAACTTTAAGTCTGATGGCCGATTTTTATATATAATTTGTTTTAGTGATATAAAGAATATTCATGTATGCTGTCTTCAAATATTTCTCATTAGAAAACATAGGTTTTGTTAGTTTTGTTTTGCACCACATCGGTGCAAGGTCAACATAGGTACATCGCATCGCTGGAGCTGGTTTATTCAATAATCAGTTACCAGTTGATGACTTGCGGAGTAGTACAGTATTGGTGCTACGGGATCGACAAAAAGTGTCAAAGATGTATAGTTTCCAGGTTTCGTCTCTTCACCACTACTACTACTTCGTTTTGTTAATGAAGTGAGGCAGTCTAAACAGAGGTAAGGCATCACGCATCAGTGCATCAGTCTATGTCTGGCTCACGTCAGAGCCCGGAAAAAAGAGCTGCGCTAACTTGAATCATAACATAACCTAATAAATGACATTTTTTAATGTATCATGGATAACACTCAAATTTAAACACTTTTGCAGTTTGCTGGCATGGATCACCGCAAAGTTAAAAACCCCTGAATTTGAATTCGTTGGATTTATTTTGCACGTAAACAAAATGAACTTAATAAGACAGCGCAAAGCGCCATCTATCATACCAGAATCGACCACTGCGGAAAGCGCATAGCCGCTATTAGTTGGAACTGTTAGGGATCACAGCTCACGTTTAATGGACCAGTCACCACGTGACCGTTAGCTGGTTGACGATTCTGGATGTAAAGTAAATGTGGTCTACTTGCCATTGCCTAAACATGATGGTTTCGTCTCCCCGACCAAAAAGACAGTCAACCATGGACAGCTGATTCGTGCTTCTTGTTTACTCATCAGCATGATCTAGACCTGGTCTCTTGTCTCTGGATGAATGAAAGAAAGCGTCGCAACTATCCTCTATACCAGAAGAACGGTCTATCGAAATAAGACAGCGCAAAGCGTCATCTGTCACACCAGTATGGACCACTGCGGAAAGCGCATAGCTGCTATTAGTTCTAACAGTTCCAACTAAGTTAGAGTACCTAAGTGTTTTTTTTAACATTTTTTGTTCTCGCATACCTTGTTAAGCTTTGGTATTGAGGCCTCAACAGATACGGTATTACTAACAATTAGTAAAATATTGAGACTTTTTTACCTTCTCGCCTGCCTACTTTCATGCATATTTATCATAATTTCTTTCCTCTTCCATATATATGAAAATCAGCCATCAGGATTTAAGTAAGTCCTATGTTTACTTACTTTTTTCACCTGGTACATGATAATTGACTGTCTACCCAACTTAGTAGGTACGCAGGCGTTTACAGTAGGACACAGAAATGCTACTCAATACATTACGTTTGGTCTTTCAGAGAAGACGTTATATGTCTGGCTGTCTTGAAATTTTGGACTATATATCCAGCTGAAGGGTCAGAGATCTTTACCTTTATTTGGAAGTAATGTAGGTGTATGGTCGATACAGGGACGACAAAAAACCTATCCACTGCTACTGCTTACTTCGACTTTCTTCCATGTCATAAACGTATTATTTATACTACTAATTTGTCCTCCTCCTCGTTATAGTTTGTATAATTTGAGCGATCTTTTGTTGCAGATTCAGGCCAAGATGTCCGATAATCACCATAACTAGGTACGCGAGAGTGGCCAGACAACTGAGCCTCTACAGAGGAATAGAAGTGTTGATCTACTTGAAAGCCTTCGAAGGCGATTGGGAGGAAGACGTAAACAGAAGGGTTCATCTGGGAATAACTTATGGCAAGTACATGGGTTATATTCGTACTGCAGATGCGGTGATCTGCGTAACAGCCTCAAGACCGGAGTGTGGTATGCCCAACACGATGAGGATTGTGTATGCATGAGGTTTTGACACTTGCCCAACAAAAGACAACTCATGGACCTATAGCTATTTCTCTCTTCATAGTTATAAATTAATGTGGTGAATAAATACGTGTTTTGACAAATTGTTGCAATATCAGTAGGTTCCGGGCCAAGCTGCGCATCGGTCAAAAAATGAACTCTCTGCCAAAAAAGGGCAAAAGCTTGACCGGTCGAAGAAGGTTTCGAAAAATCAGCATTCTCAACACATTTTGCGGATATATTGTGTACTGTTGGAGTGAAAATGCACAAAAGCTCGGTCAGCGCATTTCAAAACAATTGAAACGATTTTCAAAAGATGCAAGGAACGTTAACAAATTATACGAATATGGATGGTCCATTCTTCTCTGTTTAAACCGACCTTACCGTGAGGTGTCATTTTGAAAATATCCCACGGAATCGGCTGTTTCATAAGTAGATCTATGAATATGTATGTGTGATTTAATTTCTAGTTCAAATAATGTTTTTTTATTGTAAGTGTATTCTTTCAAGACAAGTCATTAAGCCATGTTTTTATGATCAGAACAGTACGTACGTCGCAAAAGAATGACAATCAGAAATATTTGGTTTATTTCCGAAAATATTAATTCGTCAATCTTCTAGGTACCACTATCTAATATGATCTTAAATGTTAATGTAAAATGTTGCTACGATTTAACTGACTTTCCATGCCCGATCTTTATTCTGAATGAAATAGATTTGACTGTAGTATCGTTGACTAATTTTAACAATTTTCGATTCAATGTCGTATCACAACGGGCACAAACGGCACAAGTGTTCGTTATGTTACCTCTTTATAATTACAACACAACCCACATTGTTGATTCGTTCGAAGGATGTATTGAAAGCCGGATTCGACCAAAAAATTGACCTGCTGTTCCGAAATATTTATTATGCCAGTAATTTAGCGTCAATAGGACATTCCTAGATAGCGTCCTATTTTGAGGTTGGATATAGTCAAGTACCAAAAAGGAAGAGAGTAGCTCAATCCATCGTGCACCCCTGCGATAACAGCGGCAAACGGTGTGTTACTCTAGTATCTAGTATTTTCCTTGGCGATACTTGACTACAGGTAGTACAGAATCATTCATCAGTGATCTTAATCGTAGCCTGGAACCAAATTTTCACTTTGATTGGTTAAACTTTCCACAAACTGTCTGTGACTCACCTTCTCCAGCTCCAGCTCCAGAAAATACATTCTCTCAGATAGTTTCAAGGAGCGATTGTAGTTGTGAATAAGATGTACAAGCCTCACTGCTAGGGGGTGTGACAGTCATTAAATATTGAAGATTTGAAGCGTTCCCAATTTTTCTGTGGTGTGGCTTCGAAGGTCAGTGGAAGGGGATAGGGCAGACCATTTAGAGTCTGTTAAGCCAAACATACGAGTACATCAGTACAAAGTCTTACGGTTTTCGAGATATTCGGATTTTCAAATTTAAATCATAAATTAGTAAACGAAACAAAATAAACTATTTGAACATGCTTTATTTGTGTTTAAAGTGAGAACCATTGTTTCTAATACATGCTCGAGCTCTACGTGTTACTTCGATAGTTGTTGTATTCAATAACCTGTCTTGCTGCATTAAGTAAAAAGCTCCTCGAATTTTTTTTATTAAATGGTTTCTTGATACTATTTCTTCAGTGTAAACTAACTGTTTAGCCCGCCCTCAGACATAGAAATCCAATGGTGTCAAGACCGGGATCTAGCAGGCAATGGAATTGGTTCACCTCTGCCTATCCAGCTATTTGGAAAAGTATCGTCCAAATATTGTCTTACATCTAAACGGAAATATGCTGAACATCAGTCGTGATGGAAAACAATTTGCATGTCATCTGGAATTTCTACTCCTACAAGTAATTCGGGAAGATCATTTTGCAAACAGTGTAGATAACTGTCACCGTTTAATCTTGCAGGAAAAAATGAGGACCGATTAATCTTTGCCCCATGATGGCGGCCCATACATTAACGGGAAATTTGTGCTGGAAACGTACCTGTTTTTTCCAGTGTGGATTTTCCTGCTTATCAGCCCATTGATGCAAATTGTGAAAATTTGTAATGCCCTCCTTTGGAAAATTGGATTCGTCCTCCATAGAATGCTTGCCAGGAACCGCTCATTCTCATTATCACCATGTAAGAGAAAATGACTTCTGCGAATAGGATCACCATCTTCAAGTCCTTATACGCCGATACCATGGAAAGGATATTTTCGTTCACAGTGCATGATACTCCAAACCTTCCATGGCGACTAACCAAGATCAGCAGCAACTTTCCTAGTACTTGTAGTGGGATCATGTTCAAATGCTTGGAGGATTTGATCTTCGGCTTCAGGACGATATCGACCTGGATTAACACCAGGTTCATTACGTGTTACACTTCCAGTACCGTAAAGACGTAAGACTCTGACATTAGGCAATCTTCTGCCAGAAAATCGCTCTTGGTACTACCGCCGTACTTCTAGTCCATTACCATCTGCTCTGCCATACATTCATGATGTAAACGATATCTGCGTATTCTCTTAGTGAAATCGGCCATTTGACAAACTAATTAAATCAGGGTTTTTGGACTGAAATTCATGAATTACTATTGTCTTGGAAAGGACGAAAGCAAGAATGTGTGGAATTTAGTTTTATCTTGCACGCAAACTCCTACTTATCAGTATTACAAAAATGGGAAAACATATACATACATACATACAGGGTGTCTTTGAAGTTGAGTCATTAATTTTCAGATAATGATTGTAGAAGGAAGATAAACCAAAATATGTGTGTAAAAATAAAAAAAAAATAATAAAAATTTTTTACCTTGTTTTATAAAGTATCCTCCCGACAAGTATTTCAGTCCGGACCTGTATTTGATCGTGAGGTCCCCTGTAAGGTCTTAAGTCACCTGATTCACGAGCCCGTAGTACTACATTAACAAAGGCACGAGGGGTTGGTTGCACTCGATTGGGAAACCGATCCGCATAAACATGTGCCATTTTTTATTTCGTTTGAGCCACGCAACAGACACTATTCACACGCGACTGACACTGACTGTATGTATAACTGAACTGAATAAAATAATAAATTGTACAAACATCGTTCCAAATTCTTTCGCTTTTTTGTTTCCGATGCGATGAACCGGTAAGGCGGATTATATCCGTTGTTGCCAAACACGAGCACATGATATTGAGACAGGGCGGTACTCAAACTTCCAAATGGCTATAACTTTATTACTTTAATTTTACCAGAAAAATGGTAAAGGAAAAAAACATTTCTTTTGATCAGATCTATTCACTGTTAAAATAAATGACTCAACTTCGAAGTCACCCTGTATAGTCAATTTGTTTTTCTTTTCTCTACCCTCGGAAAAAAAACACACTGTTGGTATTTGAAAACTATTTCATACAGCCTGATGTTCTTTCACTGATAACAGGAACAAAAGGCATATTTTTTTTCAATAAAAATCGAAAATCGAATAAATCGAAAACCGTAAGACTTTGAACTATGGTATTTTTGGCTTAAAAGATTCCAAATGGTCTGCCCTATAACCCCTCTAAGACTGTGTATCGACCTTCCTAATAACCTGTATAATAATAATAATTCAGTAATAGTTTTCTCACATATAACACAAGTATTACTGATTTTATACACATGCAAACCAATATACATAATCACCACATAATCATACAGATGCGATCTTGCTATTCTGTTACTGAACCAATGTTCTTCTAACATCTTCTCAAAAATACATACTACAGTATATTCAGATAAGAGATAGACCGGATGTAAACAAAAGGTTCGGGTGATTTTCACGCTAACGTCGCCGTCTCGACGTAAAACAGGAGCCCTCATTGGTCAATTCGCAATTAAATGCCTATGCCGAGCGGCAGAGCAGTCGTATCAAGGCAGAGTCACATTCAGGTTCAGACGTGTTACGTATGTCGTGTGCATCATTGCAATTTGATATTTCTTTGGACGTTTTCGTTTGTTATCTTATTAAGTTGTTGAGTTTGTCGTTGTTATTGTTATACCTTGTTATTGATTGTTATTGTTATCAACTGCTTGCGCAAAATGCCCAGTAGTACAGATACTGCCGATGAAGTTGTAAACTCCTGTAGTCCACCTAGGCAACTCTCTAAAAAAAGACACCTGAGTGCAGAAATGAAAGAGGTCATTTTGAATATATATAAGATCGAGCGCGAGGAGAACGAGGCATCAACCATCAACGAAATTCTTGTGAAGGTTTCTCACAAAGTTGGGGTGTGTCGCGCATCAGTGTTTAATGTGTTAAGACAATACAAAAAAAATCACACCTTTTCTGACCCAATGACCAGTAAACATCGCAAAAGTATTGTTAAATCATTGGATGAAGCTGATAAGCATGCGATTAGGAGGAAAGTGCATGAATTCTTCTTTAGGAATGAAATACCTACTATAGATAAAGTACTGCAGGAGGTAAATGGAGATACAACGTTGCCAAATTTCAAACGATCAACTTTCCATGCGTTACTGAAGCATTTAAATTTCAAATGGAAAAAACGGGGTCGTAATAGTTTATTACTGGATAGAGAAGAAATTGTGCTATGGAGGAGGGATTATTTAACAAAAATTGGGAAATATAGGAATCAAAACAGGAAGATTTATTACCTTGATGAAACGTGGGTAAACGCAGGACACACTACAAGTAAAGTATGGGTTGATGATTCTGTAACTTCATCCAGGAGGGCCTTTCTAGATGGACTGTCCACCGGATTAAAAAATCCAGCAGGTAAATACGAGTAATAGACAACAATCAACAACAAGGTTCTAAACATTAATTCCAGGGGGCAGATAAAACATATTACAAGTAACAAAACTTTTATAACTTTCGATAAAATGCGTGGATGTTTTATTGTCATTTTCATTTGTTAGAACTTTTTTAAGCCATGTTTTTATGTGTTTGCGATATTTCAATAATTTTTTAATATAATCTTAAAATATGTCGAATATTATAAACTTAAAAAAAGTTACTAAGTTTTATATTGTGTACCGTTCCTAATATTTCTAATCATTTTAATTCATACTTTAAGCTTTATAAAGTTATAATTTGTTAATATTAATATTTGCGCGTATTTCAGGTTCCTGATCATTCATTTTTTAAAGGTTTATAACTTTAAATTAAATTGTGAAGCGCTGAGTAATCATACGACGTTCAATATTCTTTCTTTCAATATGACTAAATAATACCAATTATAGCAATCTGATACTCATGTCTCAATGTTTTTTCGCTGAATGTG